AGAGGTGAAACTCATGTTCTCTTTGGCCATCTTGTTTGCATAAGAAATATTGCTGCTTCTTTAATCTGTAACGGGTTATTCTCCTTTAGGTATAGAGACCATGAGCAGGGTGGTTTGTTTTGTTTTTGATCACTGCGATTTGTAAAACTTTAAACTTTACTACAACTTCTACCACTTTATGTAGTTTGTGGAATGAAGTCTGTGTGCCATTTAAAAAGACATTAACTGATATGCTAGAAGGTTCATGGTTCTTGGAAGCAAACAAGTGTGTTTTCCAAACCAGTCCTGGTTCTGCTGCCCATAGCTCTAACATACTGGACCTCAGTGTATCTCTGTCTCTGTCTCTGTCTCTCTCTCATAAGAAAAATAAAGATTTCTAGTTCCTAGGAATTTGGGGGAAAGCTAAATGAGATAACATGTAAAGCACCTAGCAAATATATCACAAAGTTGATATTGAATAAGTGTTAATTCTCTTTCCTTCCCTGCCTGCCCTGTTGCTATATTTTAAACCCTGGTTACTGACAGTTTTTTTTTTATAACTTCTATGAAATCTGAGGGGAACTACACTGTCAGTCTAATTCATGAGAATAGCTTTTCTTCATCACGTATTTTAGGCCCCAACCATGTGGCACAGACGTAGGTATAAACTGTAGTAAAATACAAGTAACCTTATTTGAATATTGTTTTGCTAATTATTGGTTCCTATCTCTGCTGTAGTGGGCTACCTTATTTCTATTATTTAGAACCATACTTAAACCTCCCTCTGATTGCTGATGATAAAGTGTGGTTTCACACCTGGTCCAGCCGAACTTTTGCATATCACTTCATACTTTGTTCATATATGTTTCTAACCTCACTGACATCTTCTATATGCTTAATACCAAGCCCATTAAGATGCCCATTAAAATGACTTTATCACCGTTTTTTTAAAAATTTAGTTATATAATGTCATTAGTCTTATGAGAATGTAATAAGTTGTTACTAATCTAGATTGATGTCTAATTATTATATCATGAAGATATAGAACCTGAACCACAGAGTGATTAAGTTTCACGAGGTCATGTGAAATTGTCAGTCTCTAGATCAAAATACTTTTAACATTTGTGATACATTTTGAATTTCCCAAATTCTTTATGATAGAAAAAAATATATTATGTCTATAAAAATATATTTGTTTGATTTTCAGATAACTTATAAGCAAAGAAATGAAGCAAAATCCTATATATTTAAGGTAACCTGACTTAATTATTGGTGACTAGATTAAGTAGAAGCACTTTAAAACCTGAATCACCTTACCTCTCTACTTCCTCTTACGAATATCAATAATGAGTAATAATAATAATGATGATGATAATATCTTCCATTTATTGAGTTCTTGGTATACATATACCTGATGGTTGTAGACAGTGCTAACTTTATTTTATTCTTGTCACACAACATATCAGTTACTTTGGGTAACTGTATTTCACTTTTCTTCTAAGGAAATACCCTGCCCCTTCCCACTTCTGAGTGAGGATGACCCTCTCAGTTTCAAGGATGAATTATAGCATTCAGGCCCAACCACCTGCATTTCCCAGGCCTTCATAGTAAATACTGTTGAAGTCTAGAATTTGGCTTATTCTACTTACAAACTAATAAGTTAGTCTACTGCTGTTTTGTAGATGCTGAAAGATACAAGATTGCTGGGTTAGAGACAAAAAAAAAACACTTTATTACTAATGGAACAATGAAAAAGCAACATGATTTGTGTTTGTCTCATTTGCCCCCAATTCTCATGTAGAGAGATTCTATGCAGCAATGAGTTTGTGCCCCATCTAAGGGACACTGACTTAGAGAAAATCACCATTTTATAATAAGGAGTGAGCAAGAATTCTTTCTGTCCTTGAAAGAGACAGGGCTTATTTGTAAGATTGTTTGCTGTGAACACAACCTTGAGAAGTCATCCAGGTAAAGAACGGTTGTCAGTCAGGGCTTCACCTTCTTGACATACTCAGCAAAATGCAAGGAAGGTAAGAGGCCTGTGGAGGAGTGCCTCTCACCAAATGATCTCAGACAGTCCAATTAGACAGCCTGGTATGTCTTCTTTCCTCTTAAATTTGGACCTGGAAAGATGTCATGTTGCACTTTCTGCAGCTCTCTTGTAATTGCAAAGGAATATCCAGTCCAAAAGGAGAGCCAACACAGCAAAAGTCAGAGATGAGAAATGAAGACCGAACAAAAGTTTCTAGTGAATTGCAGATCAAGTACACCCTGAAGCCAGATCTTCTCAAGTTTTTTCACTTATTGAATTTTCATTCATTCTCAACTAAAAGAGCTCTGACTTATTTGGCATTTGACATACACTGTCTCATCAGGACAGCCCCGTAGAAGAGGCTTTCCTAACCATTATCCTGACATTCTTCATGAGAATCATGTGCATCAGAGAATTGACTTACTCCATATTACACAACAAAAAGAGCAGAACCATGTCTGCTGATAACAAGCTCCATGCTCTTAACATTTAAAGCATTAGTTTTCACTTTAGTGTTAGAATCATCAAAATTCACCCAGAATCACAATCTCTATAACAGAGCATAGAGAATATGCATTTTTATAAGTTCTTGGATGATTTTGATGTAGGACTTATTAATCACTTATGAAACATTTGCCTCAGAAAGTGTGATTTCAAGGACACTGCTGTCAAAAGTTCTGATACAATGTCCTTATTAAAAAATCTTGCTTCTGGAAGAATACTACTTGAAGCCTTGTCAGTTATGTAAACTGTAAAATCAAAGAAAATTCTCTTCTGAGAAGACCTTTATAAGAGAGGTGGGAAAAGCTAGAAAACACAAATTCCTGAGCTGGGGAAATAAAAAGTAGAAATGAAACCTTAAAAGGTAAAGAGGGAGAAAAGAACAATCTTGAAGTACTAGTTTACCAATCAGCATCCAAGAAGTTTTTCTTAATTAAATACTGTGTGTGTGTGTGTGTGTGTGTGTGTGTGTGTTTTAATTTTAGGTACCAGCATTCATATGTATAAAGAGATTTGAGAATCTTTTGAAAAAAAAAATACAGACATCTGCTTGGTTTGCTAATTACAGCAGCTCATTGGACGTAAAGGAGAATGTTTAATTTAATTATTGACTTTGACGTTGCCACTGATAATAAAACTAGCTAGATTAATTAATTGTTCAATGGTTATAGAGACAAAGAGAACACAGTGAGACCTACTTTCCATCAATATTTGGACATCCTTTTTTGCAGAATAGTCATGTAAGTTACATGTACTATTTTATAATATTAGCTTGCTTGCCTATCATGTCTTCAATTCCTCTTTTTTTAAATTTAAGTGGAATATAACTTGTCCTTTGAAATACATACTATTCTTGCAAAATTCATAACTATTTATGTACATAATAGTCTGCATAAGATGGTGTCCTTCAAGTGGAACCTAATACATATTGAGTCTTCCTTAAATTATTAAAAGCTGCATTACTTGAGTCTTTATCTGTAATAGTTCCAATCACATAATCACTGTGTATGGGCTAGAGTTAAATTTCCTGAAGAGGTAATGTTAATTTAAGTTTAAAATTACTCCAGAGAGTTTGTCTGTGGTCCCAAATGGCTGTAATGTTTCTAGCTTTGGACTAACATTGAGCTTAATGTATGATTCGATAATAATTCAGTTTATTATGAAAGTGAACATTTTACTAATGGACTTTTCTTTAAAAATCCCATCTCCTCTCTCCACAACAGTTTGACAAGTAGACATTTGCTACTTTTGTTTGAACTGGTTTCTTGGGTATACCACCTCCTCGACCTTTTCATTCTTGCAGAAACATCTTGCTTTTCTTTGTAGTTGAACTCAGAAGCTGGGTTCTTTCGAATCTGTAAGAACTCAACACTGTAACAACAGTGAACAATGAACACCTCTCAGCCATCTCTGCTGAGTACCTAACATCTCTGATTGGTGCCTTGGGATAGAAAAAGGATTGAGCCAGATGTGCAAAACATAACCCCACAGCCAAGAGCTTTTCAGAAGACTGATATGGTATTTCCATTATTTGTTCCAAATAGGTTGGAAATATATTACAATTTTAAAGTTTTTATCCAAGAGAACCCCTTGCTTTTTCTTCTCAGGTAAAAACTACACAATGAACATTTTGTATAATGGCAGGGTTAAAATGGATGAGACATTAAAGGTTTTTTTAAAACATAATCCTTTTCTATGGATATTGTGTGAAAAGATGGCCTGGGAAATACTATCTGGGAACACAGAGGTCACTTGTAAGCAAACTTATAATAGTTCATAGACACTAAACAGATACACTTTATCTTTCAAGTGTTACAGGGCATTTGAAGGCCTCTGAACCCTGCCCCCAACTCTGGTCCTGGAATTACTGCAAATTTTGTCTTGGAAAATACTTTTTTTCTGCTTATCTTGCTGGAAAAATAAAGTCTAGTAAAACAAAACATACATTCTTCCAGGATGGAAATGTCCACTATTGAACAAAGCATATGTTTTCTCTTATGCTGAAATCTGATTTTTGTATTTCTTTTACACATTGCCCTCTGCAAAAGCTTTAAGAGATACCACCTCCCATCTTTTCTTGGGATGTAAATCAACAATTACTCAGTTCCCACAATAAATGTTAAGGTCATAAACGAGAGCAGACAGTACTTTGATCTATGAAAGATTGAGGTATTGTCTATTTTGTTGGCAACAGTGCAAACCAGGGTAGCATTGCTCCCTATTCATACTTACATGACTGTTTCCTCTTCCTCTTTCTCCTCCTCCTCCTTCTTTCTTCCCCTTATCTCTCCCCCCACCCTCTCTCCCCCTTTCTGTACTAACGAGATTTTCTTTTTTAGAAAAATAATTAAAAGTATAATTACTATCTTGGTAAAATTTTCAAAGATGATTTGAAAATCTAAGTGAAGCATAAGGTAACTAAGGCTGTGCTTATGTAAAAAAAAAAAAAATCCACTGAAACAGTAAAATTCAGAGGGCAGCCAGACTATTTGCAACAGCATAATACATTTGTTTATTTAGTTAAATATTACAACAATAACAGGTTAAGAGCACTAGATTTGTATCCCGTTAATAGGATTATGATCAAAATTTTGATTTGTAAATTTAACTCTTCTTAGCCATTAAAAATCCATTTTCCAAAAGAGTGATAATATATGTTATTATTAAGGGACAAATTTAAACTCTGATTTATGATCAAAAGCATATTTGTTCATTAGTTTAAACAAAACAGAGACATTTTAACTCTTGGTTACTGCTTTCAGAAAAGCACAATGTTCTTGAAGCAAATATACATGACATATCTTTTTCAGTAGTGAGATCAACCATTGTGTATTATGTCAATGACAGAACCTGAGAATCCCAGATTTATTATCTCCGGATCATTGCATCACACTCTGGTTTACTTAAACAATCAAGAAAAAAAAAAACATGTATTTAGTGCCTACTATGTACAAGCCCGAATAATAAAGCAGTACAAGAAATACAAAGAAGTAAAACTACTGGTCCTTGCCCTGCTCTTTCCAATGCAGTTGGTAAGATTAAACATAGACACAAATTATTCCACTTCCAATGTCCTCAAAAGTAGTGATTATTTTAACTGAACTGTATCTCAGAATCTCCTCTGAGGGAACCTAGGGGAAGCAGAGACATCCCCAGCAGTGATGAAGGTCTTTGAATTTGATTTCTCAGCTTCAGGCTTGAGGGCTTCTTGAACTCCTGAAACTGAAAGTGTTCCAGCCAGTCTCACACCTGTCACTGTTCGGTGGCTGTACTTGAAATTGTTTCTTGGACTCCGACAGAGGAGCAAGATGAACAAATATACACATATATTATGTGTATACACATACATACACACCTACATACACTGGAATCACATACAGGGTGATGTTTCCCTTATGTATATATATTTCCCGGAAAGCTGGGAGTTCAGGACATTTGAATCTGAATGGAGAAGAGACTAACTCACATTGTCACTTTTAAAAAAAAATTATTATAATAAAACAAGATACCACAATAAGAAAAATATGAAAAAATCTCCAAACTCCACTGGACGCAGGCAAAAGTAGAAAGGCTACCAGAAAAGAAAAGAGCGCCCACCAGAGAGGAGATGTTGAGAGGGCCCTGGAGAAGGGAGGGAGCTCTCCTCCACTCCCGCTCCACTTCAAATCTTAGGGTCCTCCAGAAGAGCCTCCCGATAGGGAAGAAAAGGAAAGCAGAAACACATTTTCCAACACCGAGAATAAATATATAAATAAATAAATAATTCCGTTAAACAGGAAAACAACGTATTAGGCACCGCCTGAAAAGCAGCAGCCCTGAGGGGGGCGGCGGGGGTGGGGGGGGTTACTCTGCAGAGAGCCTGCACGCAACTGCAGCGTGGCCAGCTTTGTGAACCAGGCTCTTAAGTTGCCACCCTAGGTCTTGGCCCCGGTGCTGGATCTTCTACGTAAACTAGAGTAGGAAACCGAATCTGAGATTATTTTAGGTAGGCTACTCCAGAAACTTGAGCAAGGAAGAAAGGAAAGTGAAGTTTGCTGCTGCGCTTTCAAACAGTCCCTTAGAAAGTGCGCTGGCTCTGCTCAGCCTAACGCAGATGCAGGTAGCCCAGGGGCGCCCAGCGTTAGCTCTCAGAAACCGGTTCTGAGTCTGGCGTGAGGGTGGCTTCTGTGACACCCCCACCCTATCCCTAGGTTAGGAAGCTTCGGCAAATTCCTCTCTTCCTTTTCTTCCCAGCTCCGTTTTGCTCCAGAGGGGTTTGGATGTGGATGCGTGAACGCTGGGTTTCAAGCACAGGATCTATTTTACTAAGCACCGGGCTCTGCTCTGGATGAAGTGGGAGTGGTGGAGGGGCCAAAGCAAGTATGAACCTTCACCGAAAAGTAGGCGGAAAGACTATCAATTTAGTTCATTCCCAAGTCCTACATCCCTTAAAGTAAGGTTGCGCAAAGGAAGAGCGGTTGTAATTTCGGACATTTTGCTAGCTGCACCCGGCAGATTGCCCAGCTGACCCGCGCGGCAGGAAAGGGCTGAAAGCGAACTGGGAACTCACCCCTAGAGAAATCCGTGGTAGTAACCATGGCTCCTTAAACAAATAATGGCTAGAGGGGCTGAGGAATAGACTGAATTGGCGACGTTAATGAGTTCGTGATCTGCATGAGCCAGACGGAGAGGAAGGATTTAAGTTATAGGGTATGGAGAACAGAAGGACACGGAGCAGCAAATATAGTGGAGCAAAGGACCAAAAGTGGGAGAAGAGCATCTGAAAGCTTTCTCAGTTTCTAAGCTAAACTCTCAATGCAACCTTATTTGCACAGCTTTCCTGGTTCCTTCCACTACCCCAAGTTACTCCCAGCGCACCTTGGCGCCCTAGATGACATACCCTCATACCCAGTCTCCCCTACTCTTCCTTCCCCACCCCGCTTTGGCGAGGGCCCCTGAGTGGTCCCAGCTCAAAGAGTCGTGATCCGGGAAGTGCAGGTGCCATTACGAAAGACACCACCGGACTCCAGGTTCTCAGGCTGAAAGTCCTCGACACTGTAGGCTCTGCTTTTGAGGGCAGTGGCATAGTAGTCGACTGGCTCCTCGGCTGCGTTGTCCATCCAGCTGAGGCACAAGATGCGCTGGAAAGAGCGCTTGAAGTTGTCCGAGAGGAAACCATAAAGTATGGGATTGGCGCAGCTGTTGGCGTAGCCAAGGATGACCGACAACTGGCTCACCGTGGCGTCGTCCTGCTCAGCGAACACGTTGACCAGCTGCACCACGTAGAAAGGCATCCAGCATATGACAAACACCATCACGACCATCATCACCATTAAAGTGATCTTGCGCTCCGAGCGTTTGCGCTGCTGCCAGCCGGCCTTGAGGGCCACCATGCGCATCTTGGCGATAATGAGCACATAGCACAGGCAGATGGCCCCGACGGGCAGCAGGAAGCCCATAAGAAATGTATACAACACGAAGCCCACCAACCAGCGCTGGGCAGGCTCAGGCATGAGCATGTTGCAGGCCACCGTGCCATCGCTGTTGGCCGCGGTGCGTGAGAAGACCACAATGGGCAAGATGACAAGCAGAGATAGTACCCACACGCCCAGGTTCACCACTTTGGCCACTGTGGGGCGGCGGTAGCGGGCTGCTTTGATGGGGTGCACCACGGCCACATAGCGGTCCACACTGAGTACAGTCAGACAGTAGATGCTGGTGAACATGTTGACCGCATCCACGCTGAGCACGAGGCGGCAGAGCAGCGCGCCGAAAGGCCAGTGGCGCAACAACGTGGAGGTGACCAAAAAGGGCACGCTGAGCATGAGCAGCTCATCAGCAATGGCCAGGTTTAGGATGTAGATGTTGGTGGCCGTCTTCATTTTGGCGTAGCGCAGGATCACGTAGATGACCATGGAGTTCCCACACAGCCCCACCAGGCACACCACGGAGTAGATGAAAGAGATGAGAATTGCGCTCCCCTGGCCCTCGCTTAAGGTCCCGTTCTGGGACGCGTTTCGCCCTGGCTCCTCCATGCCGTCTGCAGAGCCAGCCCCGGGGCCCCTGCCGCAGCCGCCTGCGCTGCAGCTGCCCGGGCTGGGGCTAGGAGAGGAGGAAGAAGAGGAGGCGGTGCCATTGGGGAACATGCCAGCTGAGGGGGGCCGCTGGGGCTGCCGGCGCTGGGGCGCTCTCCTGGAGTCCCCGCCGCCTGCGCCCTCCCTCGGTACCCGGTAGCTTTCCAGCAGCCTACTGTCACCGGGAACCTCAGGGTAGAGCGCAGCAGCTGCGGGGAGCGCGGCTCCTACCAGCGCCTGCTCCGCGCATCGCCTAGCGGTTGCCTGCCTGAGCGCTGCCTCTTGCTGCGTCTGGGCGCCTGGGCACACTGGAGTGTGGAGAACAGAGGCCAAGAGGCTTCACAGCCATTAACTGGCGCGGCTCTGGGCTGGTGAATGATTAATAGGCACCACCAGCGCGTCAGCAGCTACGAAAAGGGAGGAGGGAGGGAGGAGGGCAGTTAGGTGGTTTGTTCCCCCTCCCCCAATTTTTTCCCTTCCCAGTGTTTCTCAGGTTCAACTCGAGCTGTTGCTTCGGGGTTCCCTCGCAACACCTTTACCCATCGCTCAGAACGACCTGGGAAGTGCCTCCACCTTCCTAGAGGGCAAGTGGGAGCCAAAGGTATAGTGTTGGTCCCATCCCACCCGACTCCTACTCAAAGCAAAGACTAAAGCGAACCCCAAACATGGATGTCTGGATTTCATCTCAGTTTCCTTCAGTTGCTGACATCTCCTGGAGGAACACCAACTCCCTTAATGTCGCGGGGCCCGGGACCCTAAGCCCTCACCTCCCTCCACCGCTTGCCCTGCCCTTCAGACCTGCAGCTTAAGCTCCCGGTCTCGGTCCCAGAGCGCTCTATCTCCCGACCGACGCGAAGACGCCCGGTGCAAAGTGCACGTGTGGTCTGGTAGCGCGCAGACGTTCTTTGCGCAGTCCAACTCCCTTTGGGCCCAACCCCGCACAAGAGCCCACGCAAATACTCTTAGAGTGGTAGAAACTGACTCTGAGCCGCGAGCATTAAGAGCAGGAAGAATCACAACTGGTGTGTTAGGGGATTCTGATTTATAACACAGCAAGCAATTCCTCGCGGGCAGGAGTGTAAGGGGTCCGAGTGAAACACGGCGAATCGTTTAGTAAATGTTATAGTGCCCAGAGCTCCCTTCGTTTCCCATAGGAATATCGACTGCAGAAACTGGGACGCGCCGGTGGGAGCTCAGGAGGACCCCGAGGCTCCCTCCGGAACGTGCCAGGCACGGTATTGGAAATCCATCTAGGTATTCACTGGAGAAAGATAAGCCTGTGCTGCTCAGAGCCGCTCTGCCCGCGTCCCGGTTGTACTTTGTACCCTGGAGAGTTGGCGGGCGGGGCTGGGAGAAAGAGAGCGCAAAGGCCTGGATCTGAGGGAACCCAGCTCCATTAAATCCAAGAGGGGCCGTCTGGGCAGCTGACCAGACTGTCTTCATCCCAAGATCCGCGGGACGGCAGCCGGGTTTTCCCAGGAAGTATTAGGAAATACAAGTGTATTTCATGTGGCTAAACCTTTAAGACCCGGGCATTGATAAAGGCACGCCTGAAGCTCACTGACTTCATTTAGCAATTGAAAGATTTCCGTGTAAGAAAGAATGGGTGTTCAATTACCATGATTTTTAAATGACCCGTGGGACTTCCCACCATTCTGAGACTAGGCTTTCTTTGGCTTTTGAGTGGAAGCATCACAGTCCATTCAATTCCCCCATTCCTTTTCATAAATCCTTCCCTGCAAGATCCCTGCAAGTCTCTGAAAGGTGCCAGCTCTCAGGAAGAGGGACCTATGGCTGTCCAGTGCTCAATCTCCTTGGAGCTTTGCAGTCTCCAGTTTCTCCTTATGCTCAACTAAAAGGCACCCACTGTGCAATGAGTCTCAGTTTTTTCTCCCCTCAGTACATTTACACCAACGTGAGGCAAACTCACTGGGTAATCATTCACATATATATATTTGTTAGTTCTCAAAAACAAAACAAAACAAAACAAACAAAAAAAAACAACAACTCAGTGCTCTTGAGAGGGAAAGAATAGCTTGTGATATATTGGTGATAGCAATCAGAGATTAATTAAGTGACGACAGACTCATGTGTGCGATGGACACTGCCTTATTAATGAGAAAAGTGCTATGGTGGAATTTGAAATTTCATAGGGCTGATGCTGTTTAACCCATTGCTTTACTTAAACAACTTGCCTTATATCAAGTGGAATGGGAAATTAGTGTTCAGTTATGTTTCTTTCTCTCTTAAAAATACAACACTTGGAAGAGAGAAAAAATGAGTGTTTATCATGTTTAAAAAAAAAATAAAAGGAATAGGTTTTGTCCCAGAAGAGCAGTTTACTACCCAAACCTCATAATGTTTTAGATGGCTCTGCCCATTACTCACTTGGCTGTATTTCTGGGAACTGGCATTCAACAGACATCTTTTAGAGGCATTGACTTTGATCATGGTGGCTCCAGGGGGAGTGGGTGATGGGAGTTGATAAAAGACAGCTTTATTGTTAGAATTTCATTAAGTTCACTTTGCAATTCATCTTAGAAAAAAAACTTCTCTCAATTAAATTGTGGCCACACATAAAAAGAAGAAAACTTAAGACCTGACATAAGCATGCTTTCTTCACTTGTGAAATGATTTCAATGATGGACCATTTATCCATAAAAAACAATTGACAATGAGATACCACTTTACACCCACTAGATGGCTATAATATATTTTTAAAAATGTTGGCAAGAATGTGGAGAAATTGGGACACTCATATGTTGCTGGTTGGAATTTACAAAAGGATGTAGAAACTTAAAAAAATAGCTTGGTGATTCCTCAAAAGGTCTAAAATAGACCTACCAAATGACTCAGCAATTCTGTTTTTTACCCCTAAAAATTTGAAAATTGAAACAGGTTCTGGAATAAAAACTTGGACATACATGGATGTTCTAATAGCAGCAGCAACAATAACAAGTAGCAAATCAAATATCCATCAGTCAATGAATAAATAAACAAAATATGGTATAACCACAGAATTGAATATTATTCACCCCTAAAAAGGAATAAAGTACTGATACATGTTACCATATAGATGAACCTTGAAAACATTATGCAAAGTGAAAGAAAACAAACACAAAAGGTCACATATTGCATGAATGCATTTATGTGACCTGACAAGGATAGACAAGCACATAGTGACAGAAAGCAGATTAGTGGTTGCCAGGGGCTAGGGAAGAAGGAAATGGAGAAAAAAATACTTGATGGGCATGAGGATTCCTTTTTTGGATGAAGAAAATATCCTGGAATTAGTGGTAATGATTGTAGGACTTGTGAATATACTAAGAATCACTACATTGTACACTTCAAAATAACTAAAAAATATGAATGTATGTGAATTTTATTTCAATAAAAAAAGAGAGCAACTGAGATTAATGTAAGTTAAGCAATGTTACCAAATATCTTCAGTTATTTGTTTTTTATTATTGTATTTGAGAATCAACCTAGGAGCGAACAAAAACAAATTTTTTAAAAGGTGGCATTCCTGAGCTAAGCAACATATTAGGGATTAGGGTTACAGTTGTTTTAAAATCAGATTAAAAGCAGGAATCTGTCTTTCACTCATACCTCAATGTAAAGTAAATATTTCCTACAGAAACAGAAAATTGCTATAGGTATGGTATTGCTATGATGTTCTAAGATCACAGCCTGTGAAAAGTCAGGACTCAACAACATTCTTGTTTTGTTAAAAAGCTTTTTATTTTTTTTTAACTCATAAGTCTAAATCCTTAGAAAGAGCTTGTGCTCTCTACATAAGTTACCAGTCCTCCACCTCTCCCTTCTTTGGTGACTGTTTATCCTGTGCATCCATGATATGTATTTCTATAAAGGAAAAGAGAAAGGGGTGTTTTCCAGGAAGGGAAGAGTGAAAAGTCCTAATTTAGGAGGCTGCAGATACTTGAACAGACTTATCTTCTTCCCATACTGTGATTTTCTCCTATAAGCTGCACTCCCCTGTGCCACCCTGAACCATAGACACACATTATTGTATTTTTCACCCTGTGCTGTATGCGTGTGTGTGTCTGAATGCACGTGTGCATTTTGTCCTCTCTTGGAAATCTATAAGCTTTTGGGGAATAGCATCTATATTTTATTTATCTTTCTATCTCCAGAACCCAGCACAATAGCTAGAAAATCACCCCAAATCTCCTTGCTTTTTTTTCAAGGTTACTTTTTTCTAGCTCATAAATTGTAGATGAAAAGACATAAACTGCAGGCCTCTTACAAGAACTTTAATATGTGGGTAACATCATCATCTGTAATAATTCCTCATACATTTATATTATTCTGAATAATTTCAATTTGCACATCCTATATCAACAATTATTATGCTGATGATTCATTCATTGATCATTCTTGGTCTTAAATTTCTTGGCAGAGAAAGGGCTCTGGAAAATGGGTAGTACATGCTTTAGTAGCTAATGATGGTTATTTAATAGTAGCATGCAGTGAGAAAGCCATTATACATGGAAGATCGTTTCTTTTTAATTGCAGTCCTGAGTCTCAGTTGGTTTGGTGAAACAGTAATTATCAGGAGCTCTAAGTCGGCTTCTGTCAAGATCATTACTAATGTGGTTTTTCCAGTTGGAACCTATGGTGAATCTTGAATGAGCTCTTATAATCCATGCATGTGGTAAAGGGTTGGCTGGGACCAGGGATTAAAGGAAAAACTTCCTGGAACATACTCTGCACTGGCATTGTCATAGTTGTGTTTACAAACACCTGTCCAGGCAGATGGGACCAAGCTGAGAATAAGGAGCAAGTACCACTCAGCAATATGGCCCAAAGTAGAGGATGCGTCATTTAAGAGCCATCTGCCACCAGGCAGCTAACATGATGGCGATCTAATAAGAAGGTTACTAGGGTTCAAAGTGACCATAGGACTTAGGAGCAATCCTGAACTTCATTTCCCAGGGATGCCTAATCACTTCACAGCAGCTTTGGTAGCCTGTGGTTCAGTTCATCACCAATCTCAGCAAACTGGCCCTGGCCTGCTGATTTCCCTCTAACCTCTTCTGTGAAAGAGCATAATGGTTTTTTTGTGCTTTCAGAAAAGAGACACGTATGGTACAACAACTTACTTTCTTTCCCATAGATTCTCTATGACAAATAATATTTCTAAAAATAAAGAATTGGGCACATGCAGGAAAGTATTTATTATTACTAACAGATAAGTGAAAACAGAACAAAAGTCACCACATGTTACCTATATTATGTTGAATGGTCCTTACCAGCAATGCATTTTTTTTTCTGTAATAACGTCTCTGTTAGTTAAAGTTTTTAAAGTGGATTGCATTAGTTTCAAATAATTCTGTCAAAATATTTTTTTCTTAATCTTTGTCATTTTTGAGCAGAAGTATCTAAAAATGCTTTCTTTCACAGTCATGAAACCATACTTTTTTTTCAATGACTCAATCGATGATTGTTTTTGAGCAGAACTATTGAACACTTACAGCAAATCACCTATTCCTTAATAAACAGCTGTTCTTTTGGGTAGACTAGGTCCATCAGCAGCTTCTCAAGGTAAGGAGCTTTAATGAAACCCAGCAAAGGGCTGAGGGTTGAGGGTGGGTGGGTGAAGGAAAACCAGTATTGTAGATGAAAACTTTGTAGACATCTTAACAGTCACCATTAAGGTGCTGTAGCTTTTTTTCTCATTTTAAATATGCAGAGGCAGGTTCCATCAGCCAAATCATGGTTTTGTTTTTGTGGCATGAAGCAATTTCAATGATTTTCTTCTTTTCCAAGTTAAGTTGGAGCTGGTCTGGTGGGGGTTGTATACTGAGAACATCTTCATCTTCTTTTCTTTTACAGTTGGGTGTAGGAAGAATGGGGCAGTGTCTGAGCCA